TACTATAGCCAGGCTTCGTTTGTTCCATATGAATACAAGCTAATAAATGTAGGGAATTCCATTTGGTATTCAATTAAGAGCTCTCTTGACTCCTGTGATTAAGGCCTATGACTATTAAGTGTAAAATTAAAGTTGAACAGTTCAGCTCTTTTTTGACATTATAACACTGCCTGAAAAATAGTGATGCAAAACCAAGTCAAACGTCATCCTTTAAAGCCCCTGAACAAATGAAAAGAGGAAATATTGAAAGGAAAAGAGTAAATATCTAAAACTTGCTCATTTGCTAATGACGTGACACATCATGTTAGGAGCCTATTAGTGTCCTCATGCAAATACAGCAACCATTTTGTTGAACACAAGATATTACATTGATTTTAACAGAGAGCGACAAGATTATTATTGCTAAAGCTCCAATGAAGGGGATAATTAAAGCATTAAGCATTTTTAAGGTTTTAAAGTGACTTTCAGCAATAACCAGATAATACTATAGGAAATCGATATACTGTAATTGAAAGGAAATTGAATTGGTCTTTATTTTTTTAATCCCTTCTAAATTTTCTCTAGACTGTCAGACCATGGGAGATAGTGAATCTTGTTTTGCCATCAGCAGTATGACTTTCTGTAAATCTCATGTGCTGCAGGGGCTACTTTTATTATTTTTTTACTTAGAAAGTGTTCAGCTGAATAGAGAGTATTATAAGATTCTGTGTGCATTATCTTTATTAGTCTCTGGCCTCATTGTTTAAAAAAGGGGGGGGCAAAAATAAAAACGCAATCAGACAAAAACAACCTTCTCCACATATCCAGAGAAATCAAGTTAATAGAATTTCTAACAATGAAACCAGAGAAATTGTTAGATAAGCCTCACACTTGAACTTAAATAAAATTCTTCTAGGCTTTTTTATTTTTTTTAATCAAACACTATGCCTGTCAATCTGGCTACACTGCAAGGAATATGACCCATTGTAGATACAAATTCATTTTGAATCTGTGTGAACCTAACTCATTTGTATTGCTTATTATTGGAAAGAGCTATTACAATCAAACAGAAAAGCTTGAAGGGAACCTCAGGGAGATGAGTGGCTATGAACAGAAATTAAGGAATCTTAAAACTTGAAAAATCCTTCAAAAAGATGTGAATAATCAACATTTTCTCTGTGTGTTTCTGTTGTTTATTTCCTCATTTATTTCTGGTGTACATTTTGAGAAGCATCATAGACCTTATGATGAATGAGATGTGTTCCACACTTATCTGTAGTAATTTGGTGACACAAAGTAGAGATTTCCAGAAATGTTTTTGAGAATCTCTTGTCCATTTCATTTTTCTGTTACTTTCCTTATTCTACTCAATGCCTCTTGACTGATTAAGTGGATAAAAGATAACACAGTAGAAGGAGCACAGTCTCTCAATTCTCAGTTTCCCCTTCTGTAGAATGGAGATAATAATGTTGCCTTTCTCATTGTATTGTTTTGAGAAGTAAATTAATTAATATAAGTAAAGACCTCAGAGGATTATATACTATGCATTATGTACATGTTATAATTTCTTTGATAAAAATGATGATGATGATGATTTGCATTTTTAATTGTATTGCCAAAATGTGAATTCACCAGTTGTTATATTGAGGCAGCTACTTAACAATTCTGAGCTTTAAGTTTTTGACTAAAATATAGGAATAATATTTTCTCTACCTACCTTAAATAGATATTTATGAAAAAAATTCATAAGCTATAAAACAGAACTGCAATTGAAAGCACTGAATCTGGACTTTTATTTTTTATTTTTTTATTTTTTATTTTTTATTTTTTTTTTTAAGATTTTATTTATTTATTTGACAGAGAGAGACACAGCGAAAGAGGGAATACAAGCAGGGG